CAGGAAGAAGACAGAACCTTCCAGGCTCCCTTGACAGTGTCATGACAGACTTTCCCCACAGGCGTGGTGACAGAGGCTCCAGGGGTGAAAGTTTGTGGATTTGTTAAAGCCTAATCTAGACGGCAGGTCAGAAGGGGCCACTTAGGGACGTCTCCCAGGAGATGTGACCCCAGGGACCAGGGCTATTTCCCATGGTCTGGAGGCTATATCCTCCGAAAACAAGGAAGAGACTAGGAAATGGCCACACACATGGAGGAAAAGAGAAAAATGTTTGATTTTTCATAGCTATTCATTAAATAGGAGCATTGGTGGCATAGTGGTTAGGCATTGGGCTAACTGCACCATCCGCAGTTCAAAACCACCACTGGCTCTGAGAGAGTGAGAGTTTACTACTCCCCAAGTGAGTTACAGTCTAGGAAATTTACAAGGGCAGTTCTGTCTTAACCTATAGGGCTGCGTGAGTCAGCATCAACTCCATGGCAGTGAGTTTTTCGTTTTTTATTTATTCGTTAAGTAAGGTGCCCTCTTGGCAGTGTAGGTTAAGCCTAGGACTGTTAACCACAAGGTCAGTGGTTCATACCCACCAGCTGCTCTACAGGAGAAAGCTGAGGCTAACCTATTTGCTCCTGTAAAGATTTACAATCTTGGACTCCCTATACACAGGCACTATGAGTCAGAATCAAGTTGATGGTAATTGGCTTGGTTTTATTCATTAAATAAACCTAGTTTCTTAAACTCCAGACAGGACAGAGCATTTTATCTATAGAATGCGTGTCCCAAGTCATGCCTACCACCTTGTTCAGTAGTCCTTGGGCATGGTTCCTTGTTATTCACCCCTACTACTCAACGTGTGCACCATGCTAGGTGCAGGGCTCCAGTGGGGACCAAGCAGGAAGGGGACTAAGTGGGGACCAAGCAGGAAGGTACTAACATTCTTGAATATATTCAAGAGGGCATGGGACAGAGGGTGAGAGCCTGGGACATGTGCTAAGAAGGACCCACGACGACAGGAGAGAGAAAAGAACACAGGCAGAGGGAACAGTGAGTGTAGAGGCCTGGAGCCAGGAAAGCAAAGAACCTATCATGTAGGGGGTGTCTGAGGGATACTGATATAGACACCACAGGAAGATGCAGGCAATGTTACACATTATTCTTATATGGTTAAGTGTATTATTTACTGTGGGTCAAACACTCTTCTAAGCATTTTACCAATATCGGCTCATTTAGCCTTATGAAAGCTACTGACATTGAGTGAATTCTGACTCCTAACAACTCTGTAGAATACAGTAGAACAGCTCCATTGGGTTTCTGAGATTGTAAATCTTCATAGAAGCAGACAGCCTCTCTTTCTCGCTCAGGGCATTTGGTGGATCTGAACTGCCAACCTTAGGTTAACAGCCAATTACCTAACCCATTAAGCCAGAAGTTCTCAACCTGTGGGTTGTGACCCCTTTGGGGGTCGAACGAACCTTTCACAGGGGTCATCCGATTCATAACAGTAGCAAAATTACAGTTATGAAGTAGCAACAAAAATAATTTTATGGTTGGCGGGGGCGGTCACCCACAACATGAGGAACTGTATTAAAGGGTCTCGGCATTAGGAAAGGTTGAGAGCCACTGCATTAAGCCATCAGAGCTCCCCTAAATCCTTACAGTATCCCTATTAACACATGTTGTATTCAGGAGCTGTGAAATCCACTCAGACTCAGAGACTCAAAGTATAATAGAAGGAAACGCTGCCGGGTGTGTTTGAGCTGATCGGCTATAGCTACTGTGCCAAGCCACCTCATTGAGAGCCTTCCTCTTTTGCCCACACCCTCCACTTTAACAAGCATAATAACTTTCTCCAGGTGAGAAAACTGAGCACCAGAGAGGTCAAGTAACTTGCTCAAGGTCCTATCGCAACCATGTGCTACCACAGGGCAAGACCTGGGTTCACACACACCAGGCAGTCTGGTTCCAGGGCCCATGACTATACTGCTACTCCATGAGGTTGGGTAACATGACTGATCACATCTGATCACTTGAAAATTTCCATGTCCCCTGATGCACCTGTACATAAGCTACATTAACAAGAAGAGAGAACTAATAATTAACTCAAAGTCTGAAACGGATTAAAGGCTGAGATGTTTCTAATTGGAAAGGGGTGGGGCAGACCAGAGGAAAGTCCAACAGGCAGCAAATGTTTCTTCATGAGCACTAGAGATCATAAGAAGGGGGAGGAGACCCTCCTCTTTTTCATAGCAAGCAAATCTGCAACAAGCAAAGCAACCAAGAAACCTGCACTTTATTTCGTTTGCATCCCTATTGGCACACACCTGTACCGTAACTAGCATCTCACAGGAGCTTAGGGCCACAGGCCAAGGAAGCCACAATTCCCAAAAGAGGGGGTAAATCTGGAATGAGTCACACATTGATACCACTTGGGTTTTCCATCACTGAGATATGTGAGTAGGCTGTAGTTAATTCTTAGCAGCTGCTGCGTCCCTGCAGGGGTACCAGCCTTTCTGAATGAAGGAACTGCCTTCAGCGCTGGCTTCTGTCTGAAAGAAGGGTCTGACTTTTCCATGCCTGTCTGTCAACGATCACTCTAAAGACAATCATTTGCACTTCTGAAGATGGAGACATAAGATTTCACTTTTTGTATTTTTTTCAAAGGTGACCAAGGCCTGAAATCTGAGAATCCAAATTCCAGTTGGTAATCAGGTGAGCTCTAGAAAGAACTCAGAGGGGGAAGAGGGCATATTTGGATTCCAGATGCTGAGATCCTTAAGGCCATTTGCACATGCATTTGGAAGGCAGTATAATCTGTCCCCTCATGTGTTGTTTCCCTTTTCACAAACATAGTAAGCAGATACAGTAAGACAGTGTGGGGTGAGGAATCTTCATTTTACATACCTAGTAACAAATTCTCCCTGTTCAGGAGGGCAGAATACTCATTAAATAGCATCAATGAATGCAGTTGCAAAAGCATTATAACAGTATTATTCTACCCCAATGAGTCCATTCTGACAGTGACCCTCTGGAGGGTTTCTTTGGCTATAAATCTTCATGGGCAGAGGCAACTTTTGTTTTCTGCAGTACAGGGGCTGTTGGGTTTGAACTGATGGCTTTGCAGTTAGCAGCCCCACTCATCTGTCAGTACCACCAGGGCTCCTTACATTTGCTAAATGGCTGATTAAATGGGACAGCAACAGTGATCTGTAGATTTAGACCACTTAAGTATAATTACAGGGGATGATATACTAGATAGTCTGTAGAATAGGCATTAAATTACTTTGTGTGTGTGTGTGTGTGTGTGTGTGTGTGTGTGTGAAACATACAACCCAGTGGCATTTTGTGAATTTACAATGTCATCCAACCATCACCACCACCTGGGTTCCCAGCACCCTCTATCACCACAGAAGTGGGCCCCGAGCCCATAAAGCAGCCATTCCATTCGCTGCTCTCCCCTACATGACTTGACAGGGTGGCTTGTGTCTACCTCACTGCAGCCCTTTTCCCAGGGGAGATTCAGCATTCATCTGCACAATGGGCAAAGTTCTTGAGCTGTGCTAATCTCCAGGTTAAGGTTCCCTTTCTGGTCGGGGCCTCCTCCAAACTCAAGGCCAGCAGGAGGAAGTCTACATAAAGGGCCGAAAATGCCCTCCCCAGCTCAGTCTCGCTCTTTAACCTAAGGAAGGGGCTGGGGTGCAGGGCTCATGGCTGGCCTCTGGATCGTTATCGTTTTATATATAGTAACATCTGTTGAAAAAAATATATCCCGCGACAAAGTTTTCTATTTCTGTAACAGTGAGTCAGGAGGAACAGTCCAACACGCTGCTTTCCCAGGGATGAAAGCAATTGTTTGAATTTTAGACGTTAGCTTAAAATTGAGCTCCTGTGAAAATAATCATTCTTGATTCCGATCCAGACAACAAATGTTCTCACTGCTAATTCACAGAAATAAAATATAGCCTGCCACCCTGGCCAATACCCCTGGGGGCTTTTCCGGGGGAGGGGAGCGGGTGGGTGCTGCAGGCGCAGGGTCGTGTAGATTCCCCCGACAAGCCCCCGCTTCAGCTCCACACACAAAGGAACCCTTCAAAGGCAGCAACTTCACAGGGCTGCATCTTAAGGCCCCCCGGCACCTGCAGCACACAATAGCCCCCTGTAAAGCCCGACCCCCACCACTCCTTTCCTACCCACCCGCCCACCTCCGTTTTCCCTTTCCCACACTCGGGCTTCTCATCTCAGCTACAAGGTCGCTAGTAAACTTCTGACTCCCAAGGAAAAAATTAGCAGAAGCCACAACTTCATGGGATGACTCACCAGGGAGTCTCCAACTCCCACCACCGCCCTGTAGTCGCCCCAGCTCGGTGGCCCTGGGCCTCTCAGATAAAGGGGAAATTCTCCGAAAGCCAAGGCAAGCGCTTAAAATGAAGAGCCCTCCCTCCCCCTCCGGCGGCGCTTCTCGGATAGGAAACGAGCCCGTTAGAGGCTCCGATTCAAACGAACATATGTGTCTAGGAGGCAGGAGGAAAACAAACACAATTCCCTGCGAGGCGGTTCCTAGCAACACATTCTCATCCGCCGGAGGCGCGGCGCTCCCAGGCCATTTTTAAAACCAGTGCCAACGCAGGGCTGCGCAGCTGTGCCCCTGCGGTGCCCGCCCGTCCGCACCGGAGCTGCAGTGGGCAAGGCCGGGGAGAGGGAGCCCCCCCGCCCCCCACCTCCGGGGCTGCACCGCCGAGGAAAAGGAGAGGAGCGGCACCCTAGACTGGTTGACCTTGAGACTGTCCCAGAGCTACGGATAGCGAGGCCTGGCCTCCCTTACAGGTTGCAAGCCCACCCCACCAGGGAGGTGGCGAAGAAGGTGGAGGAAGGCACAGGGCAGGGAAAGACGGAAAGCTAATCCACTAAAATGAAGGGGGAGAGCGTGCGAGCTCCCCTTTAGCTCCGGGCAGCGGGGGGTGTGGGAGGGGTCCGCGCGGCCGGAGAGGTGAAACAGCAGCACTCACCTGGGTCAGCCTTTCTCCGCTGGTGCAGACCGCAGACGCGCAGCCTACTGTGGATGAGGCGCCGTCGGTCTGGTGAGGGGCGGAGCTGCGCGGGGCCGGGCCAAGCCCCGCCCCCCGACGGACCGCGAGTCCACGCCCCCAGGCGGGGCTCCCGGCTCGTGGGCTCACTTGGGCGCTTGTAGCTCGCGGTCTCTGGTTGTGAAGCGGAAGCTGAATTTTCTTCCAATTCTAGGTCAGTTTTACACTTCATCCCCCCGCAGTCCATATGCTGCTTCTTTTCTCCAGGTGCCTGCCCGGATGGCTCCCGCAACTGCTCCTAACAATTGAATAGTTCTCAGATTGGATTTGCAGAACATTCCTTGTTCAGCACGTTCTCCATTTATCCCCAGGAGCCATGGGCAGGTGTGGGGAGAATGGCACGCGCTCTGGATGCAACGTGCCGAGCTGTTAACCAACAGTTTCCATCCTCGGATCATTGCGCCAGTTAAATTCTTCTGTATTTGAGAGCCTCCATAGATCAAAGCAAATTGTGTGATCTTGCCCTGTTGAATGCAGAAAGAGTAGAAATTAGGGTGGGAAATTGACTTTGAGAGCATCACAGACCAATTTTCATCAGTGAAAGCAAGGAGGGTGCCTTTGTAATTTTCACCCGGTGCCATAATGTGTTATGTAAAAGATTAACGAAGTGCCTCTTGTTTTTGAGCGGATATGGTAAAGTTCTCTGAAAGATGGGAGTCAGATGTTTGGATAAGGGTGCAATGTCAGTGCTTGCCATAGGCGCGGAGAGGTGCCTCTGCCAGCAGCGTCCTTGTACACACGGTTCCAGGCACTGCGCCCTAGAGGTGAGGCGCAGCCTTGTACTGCGCCTGCGCAGAAGTGCAGCGCCCCGCCCCCCCCCCTAGCCCCCGGCGCTTTTTTGTGTGTGCACCCTGCGTGGGAAGTGTCTAGGACTAGAAGCGCTCAGCGTCACACTTAGCGACATTCGTTTAGAAAAAGGATTTAAATATTTGTACTAGGGCCTTACTTTTAGTCAGTTTTGCTGAGAGCCGGACCCAAGTCCTGCCTGAGCGGTGGCCCCCCTCTGGGCTCCTTCTTTGCAAACCAGACCAAAGAGCTCAGCGACCCTTGCCACTTTGGTAGCGAACACATTCCCAGTTCCCTTCACAGGAGGTATTTCACATTCAGGTGAATTCTTGGATGAGACCTGCAGGCCAGGAAGAGAACTTGATTTTGGCCTTGACCTACTTGCCTCATGTATTGGCCTCGTGTATTGGAGGGTAGAACAGCACCATAGGTTTTTCTCAGCTGTGAGTTTCGCGGAAGTAATTCCCTAGGCCTTTGTGCTAGGAGTCACGAAAGTCACCAACGTTTCCAGTTTTCTTGTATCTGAAGTGCCCCCCATCCCAATGAAGGCCTCCCCGGTCATCTCTTCTGTAGAGACGTCTCCCCTCAATGACAGTGTGCTTGAGAACGATTTCCAGTTGAGAATCAGCGGACTTGAATGGAATCAAATCGATTGAATTTAAAGGATGGAATCTAGATTTAGCTCTAGCCTAGGTGTTTGTTGTTTTCATTGTATTCACATCCAGAACTACTATGAACGCATAAAAATCCTTGCTATTGCTGGCTCCGCAACTCCCAACCATTCTCACAAGTGCTTTCCTTTCCTTTCTTAGGCACAGAAATGATGGCATATTTTAAGGCTTGTTAGGCATGCAAGGGTTATTTTAATTGAATATCGAAAGGAAGTTAGTAAGTAACATATTTCTGCATTGTTATTTTCTCCCCTTCCTGACTTCCTTTTAAGAAAAAGAAGCCTGACATGAAAAACATCAGGCTTATGATATTAAGATGTATGCTGTCAAAAATATTTTAATTTTAAATTTGTAAAAATTTTAAAACATGTAACATTTTCTTAGAACAGGTTTCTTTGGCTTAGAGTAGATTGTTTTAGGCCAGCAATATTTTTATGATGCTCACTTTTACTTCTTAAGTTAGGAGTAAAGGTTTTCCTCTGGGTGAAGAGTTGAATGTTACCCTTGGTGTTGCCTAAAACAGTCACTGCCATGGGGTCAGTGCTGACTCATAGCAACCAGGGTAGATCTGCACTGGTGAGTTTCTGAGACTGCGACCCTTTGAGTGGAAAGCCTGGTCATTTCTCCCGAGGAGGGTCGGGTGTTTTCAAACAGCTGGTCTTGGGTTAGCAGCCCAAGGACTGTAGCCATTTGATTGTATCCATCAACCAATCTAATAACTAGGAAGCTTGTTCTTTATTTTCTTTTAATAAGTCTTAAAGTTAAAGAAAAAATAGTTAGACTTACTGCTCTGTCAGAGATTGGTAGAACCACTGAGATTATGGTCAGTCGAATGAACCCACTGTTTGGAGGTCAACTTTCAGCCAAACGATGGACAGACCTATTGTCTTAGGCTGGGTTGACTAGAGAAACAAATCCGGTGACACTCATGTGTGTAAGACAGAGGTTTCTATCGAGAGGTGATCATGTATCAGGACAACATCCCAACCCAGTACAACTCAAGTCCATAAATCCAATACCAGTCCATAAGTTCCTCTTCAGACTTACGCAGCCACATCTAATGAGGCAGAATGTAGGAAGATCACAGGCCAGTAGATGCAAAGTCTTGTGGAACCAATGGTGGTGGACGAATCTCCAGGGCTCTGGTAGCAACCAGGTGAACCCAGAGAGAGATGAAGGTTCCCAGGACACTGTCAAGCTGTGACCTGATTGACAGGTTGAATACCACCGCTATACTTTGATATATCTTCGAGTTGACACGAATTATGGAACTACTACACCAATAACGTGAACAAACACACAGGGAGGAACATCCTCCTCAGTCTAAGCACAGTCAACCATTCACGATCAGAAGGGTAGCATGCCCCAGAGCAACGCTCAGAAGGAAGAGACACGGGAAGCCACTGAAGAGGTGGGAAGAGTGCCACGAGACTGGGGGACTACAGCCTATGTCACAAAGCAACATGTGTACAGATCGTTGAAAGGAAAAGTCATTTCCCCTGTAAACTTTCCACAAACCTCCAATAAAAGGTATTTTATGTTTTTTTTTTTAAAGAAAAATCAGGCTGAGAAAGTTTTCAGCTAGCTCTGTATGACCACAGATATGAATTTAGTCACTCAGGACCATATAAAGAGAATCTTAATACAAAAGTAATGTTTATTTATTGCAGAAAGTTTGGAGTATATATGTATATTTAATATTAAGGTGGTGGTAAAAATGAAATCATACTATTGATATCATTTCTTAGTCCTCTCTGAACACATCATAAATTATAAACTCTATTCCCTATCATTTCTTTAACTGTTCATTTTGCAACATTATTTTTAATGACTGCACATTTCCTAGTAGGAATTTATTAAATCCTCTCTTGTTGGTGTTAGCTTATTTTCAGTTGTTTCATACGGTCTTAAAAAGCTGTGTGCCAGGAGATCCCCTTGCAGAGGGGTCTCGGGGAGGAAATGAGCCAGTCAGGGTGCGATGTAACAACGATGAAAAATACAACTTTCCTCTAGTTCCTAAATGCTTCCTCCCCACTCCCACTACCATGACTCGAATTCGACCTTACAAGTCTGGCTAGACCAGAGGGTGTACACTGGTACAGATAGGAACTGAAAATCCAGGGAATCCAGGGCGGATGAGCCCTACAGGACCAGTGGTGTGAGTGGCGATATTGGGAGGGTAGAGGGAGAGTGGGTAGGAAAGAAGGAACCGATTACAAGAAACTATATGTGACCTCCTCTCTGGGGGACGGACAACAGAAAAGTGGATGAAGGGAGACGTCGGACAGGGCAAGATATGACAAAATACCAATTTATAAATTATCAAGGGCTCATGAGGGAGGGGGGAGCGGGGAGGGAAGGGAAAAATGAGGACCTAATACCTGGGGTTTAAGTGGAGAGAAAATGTTTTGAGAATGATGAGGGCAATGAATGTACAAATGCACTTTACACAATTGATGTGTGTATGGATTGTGATAAGAGTTGTATGAGCCCCTAATAAAATGATTAAAAAAAAAAGAAAATAATAATATAATGATAAAAATACTAATAAAGAAAAAAAAACTGTGCATGTTCATGATAATTTCTTCTGGTTAAATTCCTTTAAAGAGTAATTTCTGGATCAGAGTATGTATATATATATATAATATAACTCTTGTTATATAATATATACATTTTAAATCCTTTGTTATTTATTAAGTAGACAATTCAAGAAAATATTTATAATCCTCTCCAACACTGAATGTTGGATATCATTTTCCTCCACCTCTCTAAATGGGAATAAAACTTCTTTCCCAAAGTTATTGTGAAGTTCAAATGAAGCGAGGGCTAAGTGCTACAAAACAAGTTCTGCATGCCTTTTGTCACAGGAGAATATAGTTTGCACGTCGCTGTACAACAACATGGATTATGATGTGCAACACATTGGCCTAGAGGTGACTCTGCCCCTGCTTCCGTCCCCACTAATTCCTCTCCATTTACAATCTGGCTTCTGCTCCCAAACCTCTTCTCAGACTGCTCTCCCCAAGGTCACTATTTGCCTCATAAGTGCTCTCTCTATCCTTGGATTCTCAAGCCGGGCTCTCTCTGATTCTTTCGGTTCCACTCTCACTAGTGGTCCCTCTTTGTCTGCCTGCCTCTAAAATATGGTCATAGTTTTCCCGAAGGCGCAGTCTTCTATGGTGTCTTCTTATTCTCTTCTCTGGCTCTCCCTCACTAATTACATCTACGTCTGTGGCTATTTTGGCTGTCTAGAATCCAAACCTTCCTCCCTTTGGGGGAAATTCTCTCATTTTGATATACTCTTGCAAAATAATACCTACCTACTTCTCTATGAAAGTAAACAGAGACACACATATTCAGCTTTGCCTATCTGGTGCTTGCTTTCAGGGCTCTGACCCTTGAGGGAACGGGGATACTTGTAATTTTCAATCATGCTTGCCACAACGGTGGTTTTTTCTGATATAACAACAAAACAGAATTCCCTATCTTTGTTTCATTACTACCACTCAACACATATTTTTATTTAGCTAATAAATTTGCCTCTTGTCT